ATTTTGGATCTAAAAGTTTCTAAAGTCACTTATTCCACTATCCAATTAAAATCTTTTGACAATTAAGCAATCATTTTCTGACTTTCTGAAGATTAAATTTGGATGCTTGGTTGAACATGAGCCTTATCTCTCAAACCATCACTTTTAATTGGAGCATGTAAAAGGATCACATAGGGTTTTAGCTGACATCACAGTCTATTGCCATGGAAATGTAAACATAGGTTTCTATTAGACTTGTCTCAAAGCAAGTTTTGAGATGGACCACAATAGACCATGAGATAGGAGATAAATTGTGTGAAAAATATAGTCTCTAAACGTTGAAGTGCCCTAGGAGCTCGGACCCTCAGTGATCTCATCCTGTCTCATACCACCTATACACTGATGACTCAAATTTATATCTCTCAGTTGGACCTCTCCTCTAAACTCCAAACTCATATATCTGTCTTTTTGATCACTTCAGTTGGATATCTAATTGGCATCTCAAATCTCGCATGTCCACCCTAAGCTCCTGATACTGCCCTCTCCCTACCCAACTTGCTCTGCTCACAACCTTCTACATCTCAGCAAAGTCAACTTCCCCCTCGCTTGCAGAGGCCATAGAAATTGGAGTAATCCTTGACCTATTTCATACTCCTCAGCAAATCCTGTCAGCTCTACCTTTAAAATACAATCAAAAGATGCTCACTTCTCCCCCACTTCCACCACTTGCAAACTACAATAATTTCTTGCCCAGATTGCTGTGATCAGTTCTGAACCCGTGTCCCTCCCTGCTTATGCCCTTGCCTTCCTTCAGTCTATTCTCACATAGTGCCCAGAGTGATCATTAAAATGTCAATCAGATTATATCACTCCTCTGCTCAAACCTGCCCATGGATTTTCATCTCATTTAGGGTAATCATCCATTCTTCCCACCGCCTTTTCTTCAGCCACACTGAATTCCTTGTTGTTCACTGATCATAGGAGGCATGATCCCACCTCAGGGCCTTTGCAGATGCCCTTCCTCAAAGGAATCAGTATGGCTTGCTTCCTTTCCTCCTCTAGGCCTTTACTCATAATCATCTTCTCAGTGAGGCTTTCTTTGGCCAATGATCTAAAATAACTACTTTCCCTCTCCCTTTGTACTTTATCTAAGATGCTATGTGTTTCACTTATTTCTACTGATACAGTCTCTCCCACTAGGATGTGAGCTCCACAAGGCAGAGATTTTGGGCTGTTTTCCATTGCTGTATCCTCTGCACCTAGGAAAGTGCCTGGCGCATAGTATAAAATCAATAAATATTTGTCAAATAAGTAATTGAAAAAATGAGTGCTACATGTCACAAGAAATAAAGATTATTAGTGAAAGCATGATTAACTAAGGCCTGCGAGCCTAATGTCTTAAAAAAGTTCTTTTGTTGTTGGGTTTTCACGGTAATCTGTCTTTGGAGGAGCTGACTTAATTTTCCAAAAGATTAGGCTTAATTTCTCTTATCTTAGCAATGTGGAACTTCAGAGATGACTGTTCAAGAAAAAGGAAGAGAATAATGATACAGGTATTAAATAATGTTCACTGTTTGCCATGTTAGATGAACTAATGATTTAAAAACAAAATTAGTACATAGATTACTATTCATTCATAGTGGACTAAAATTAGAAATTAAAAAAAGTTGCTCTTTGATTAAATTAGCAGTTTCTGGCACACAGTAATGCAATATATAATATGAGTTGCACTGGATGGTATCCAAGAAGGCTTAGTTACTGAAATAGTTTTATTTCTAGTGATTCTACAGTATAGGTATGGGTGTCTAGGCTGGTTACGGTTAAACTTAGAAATAAAATAGGTAATGGTAATGAAGATACTATATTTAGATCTGAAAATTATAAATCCTTAGTTGTTATTCCTTATCAGCTTACAAACTAAACAATGTACAGACTACAAGCTCTCAAATGAACTGCAGATGAAAAGGGCAATAAATACTAGACAGAGTTAGAGGCAGAATGATATAATGGAAATATAAAAGTTGGGAAACCTGGATTCCAGCTTTCACTATGCCACTAATTGGCTGTGATTTGAGGTGAGTCATTTAACCTCTCTTAGTTACCTCATCTGTAAAATGTTGGATGGACTGATAGGCTTCAATGATCCTCCAAGCTCTAAGTATTATGAGATTTTTTTTTGATTTTAAGCTTAACTACTGTGGTAGGCAGAAAAATGCCCCTCCACACCTCACTCTGCCCCACAGAGGTCCACAACCTAATTCCTGGAACTTCTGTATATGTTATGTTACATGGGAAGGTGGAATTAAGGTTGATAATAAGATGCCTTAAAATCAGGAGATTATCCTGAATTATCTGTTTGGGCCCAATATAATCATATGGGTTCCTATAAGGTAGAAGAGAGAGGCAGAAGAGTGAGTAGCATAGTGAGAAAGACTTGACCAACAATTATTGGCTTTGAAGATGGAGGAAGGGGCTGTGAGTCAAGGAATGTGGGTAGCCTGCAGAAGCTGGAAAAAGGAAGAAAACAGATTTCCCCTAGAGCCTTCAGAAAGGAATCTAGCCCTACAGACACCTTGATTTTAGTCTAGTGAGACATGTGTCGGACCTCTGACTTCCAGAACTCTAAGTATTAAATTTGTGTTGTTTAAGCCACTAAGTTTGTGGTCATTTGTTATAGCAGCAACAGAAAACTAATATAATCATGATATGTACCATAACTAGCAAAGCTGGACTCAAGTTTATCACAGATGCAGAGTTTTAACTAAAAATCCTATACTCAAGTATTTTGTAAAGATCTTCAGAGGCAGAAGTAGTCAGAAACCATGAGAAATTTGTAGAAAAGTCATGGGAGAGAGTCTATAGGGGAATAAAATTTTTACTAGTGATTCATGTGAAGAGTAGAAACCTGGATATTTTATGAAGGAAAAAAATGGCAAGAGAAATTAGAGAGGTGATTCACAACATATGAATTTATTACTTCTCTGAGCCTCAGCTTACTAATTTATAAACTGAAGGGCTGGGATAAATAATTTCTAAATTCCTCTAGCTCTGAAAGGAGATTTAAAAAATCCCGACAGATGCTAACATGGGCTTTTGACACCCTGCTCTCCCCAAAGTTTAAAGAATATTCATTTTATAAAGTATTAGAATTATCTTTAATGGCTGATGGTCAAGCTTCACAGAAAATTCTTAGTTTAACGAGAAAGTGGCTCTGAATTTTAATTATGACACTCTTATTCAAGTAGGTTACTTGAGAAAATTGTTTAGCTTTCTAACTCTTCCGCTTCACCTGTGAAAGTATGGTAAAAACTGGCTAGATGGATTTTCTAAGGAATGAACTATTTTAGATGTCTGAAGGTTTACTGAAGGTTTTTTCCTTTATGAAACTAAACTAAACATATTTGATGGAACTATTTCTAAAATGAAACATGCCCTTTTATATAAAAGTTAACAGGTATCGTATTACCTTTCCTTGAAGAGTCATACTAGTAACATCATAGTAGGCTGTAAGACAGTGATGCTCTAGAAAGCAGTCAGCAAGCTGTTTTTGTAAGGTTGAGGAGATAAAAATAGTTTTTACATTTTGAAAGGGTTGTTAAAAAAATGTGACATAGACCCTAAATATTTACTATCTGGCCCTTTAAAGAAAGGTTTGCTGACTCTTGCTCTAGAAAAATATGTGTAGGCTTCTTCATCACATGTCCACAACTAGATTGAACATTATGCTCTGTTACCAGAGGAAGCACATCTATCTCGGTACAGTGTCTGACAAGGTAGCTCAAATAGCTGTGGAAAAACAAAGGCTACTGGCATTTAACATTCTTTTGTTGCTTGTTACACTCTCCTACTAACTTACAGGTTTTTTGGCAATCACTATACCTGCCCCTAGCAGTCTCTCCACCTTTTTAATTTTGGCCTGGAAATTTGATAACTGGGCTTATAAACATTTTAAGCAATATAAGATTAAATTGGTTATGTGCAGATACTAGAACTATTTTCTAAATAAAACAAAGGTGGTTTGGTGCAGGGATTTGGTGACTTATTCTGATTGTCCCAAGGTTTTTAAATTTATTTCTAGGTTCTCTGCTATCCTTTGGAAAAGCAAGGTTGCTGGATGGATGAGGTCTTATGGTAGTATGCCTGATCATTTTTTTAAAATAATATAAAACAACATTATACCTCAAAAGCTAGTCAACAAAATATTAAATTTTAGCAATTTGAATGGTAGGATTTTCTTGGAATATCTGATTGTTTTTTTACAATGAACATTACTTTTATAATCAGAAAAGCCCCTTTCATTAAGAAAAGGAAGATAAATTGGAAGGATCTCTCTATTCAACCTCATTGACCTAATTCAACGGTTTTCATTTAGCATATTTTTTTCATTATTTGATCGCTTTTTAAAAATGGGTTGTAAATATTGTTAGATTTTTATTTTGACCCACATTTGGGTTGCCAGAGGTAACCCACAGTTACTGTAATACTGAAAAATAAGCTGTAAATATGAAATACTGTAGGAATGTCAACAATCAATATGATGAAAAGTGACTAATTGCTTTCCGACCTCTGCTCCACTCACTTTATACAAGTTCAGACGAATAATACCCAACGTGGATAGTGTTATGGCTCACAAAACACTTTACTTCATCTAGTTCTCACAACAACCCTGTGAGGCAGGCACATTCTTGGAGGTAAAATGACTTGGCCAAGTCACTGGGCTAGTGAGGAGAGAGGCTCATCAGCCTGGTCAAGAGAAAAGAAACAGGTTTTCGGAGGAGCTTCTAGAAATGTCAGAACTTTTACTACACCTTCGCTTCGATGTTCCCTCACCTGACAGTTACCATTAGAAACTCAAATCCTGCCTCTTCCACCTCATCAAGGCACACTGCGGGCAGGGAAACCTGTGAGCCCACACCAAAAGCTATCACTCTCCATCCCCTAAGCCCCAGAGCCAAGGCAAAGAGCGCACAGTCCGCCCCCTCCCGCGAGCCACAGACTCTGCGTGCTGACTCCCGACTAACCTGACCAGGTCGGTCATGCAGGAGCCCACCACTACCACCGCGGCTACCTCCTCCTGCCACTGCCTCCCGGGTTCCCCAGACGCGGCCATTGCTCAAAGGAGGTGCTCTCCAACTCGGAGGCTGCCCTTTACCCTTTGGGCGACCCCGTAACCAGAGACGCCGCTCCTACGCTCCCTAACCACGCGGGCCTTCCCGACGCCCAGGCGGGTGGCCCACCTGAATGCCCGAAATAACCCCGCCCACCAACTGCCCCTCGTTCTTCCAGGAATTGTCTCGCTGCACCGCCTCTCATTACAGGGCCCTTTCGATAGTTCCAGACTCCACGCTGCTCGCCACGTACGACACACGCACTGAAGAAGGAACTTTCAGGCGCTGCGGGGACGCCTTTCCGAGCGCTTGGCTCCGCGGTGCGGGGGCGCGCACGCCGCCCGGCCCCCC